ATCTAATCGACTTGCGTCCATAGTTTTCAATGATTTAAGAATAAGTCGAACTGGTCACATCGTTAAATTACCTACAGGATCGTGTTTTTCACGATTAAAATTCGACGACATTTCGTCAGATGTCTTGTTTTTCGTTATCTTCTTTATATCTGAAAGAAACAATATTAACTTGTATCAACACCCGCCAAGTTTACATCTATTCCATGGAAGAAAAGCTGTGAATGCAATCCTTTTGACATCAGTGACCATCATTGATGTATAGAAAAGAAATGAAGTACAATACTGATCAAATATGAAAATGGTCACATGTAGTGTTAAACATGGCGCAGATAATTCGAAACCATAGGAAGCGTTTTTCGTTGTTATTTTAAAATGGTTGAATGTAAGTAGTCTGAAAATATTATTTCTGCAATAATCGAAACATGTTTTTGTAGAAAAATCTAGGATAGTTAGATGAAGACGAATGTGAATATAAGCATGTTAAACAACATAGAAGTTCAGTAAGGTATTACCGTTCCTTGGGCACAGGATAATATTATGAACGATGAACAAATCATATTCGCCAACAAAAACAAACTCTTTCAAGACACTGTGATTAAGATAAGGGGAAAAGTCATTCGGACATTCTGGTCTATTCGAATGGGTCAGAATGAGATTTTTCTTCCTTGTATGACGATTTTTATATCTATTACATGCACACTCTATTATCTATCACTCGTTAAGTTATTATGAGAAAATGACTAAGTCATTTTGTTGTTTTTTTCTTTTGGTTTTCTTTTCAATTTTTTGATGAACAATGAAAAATTTGTTGAAAGAATAAGACCGTAGCACATATTCGACTTGTTCATTTTCAACCAGTAATATCATCTCAAATAACTGCATATTCCGTAATATGTCTTTTGACGAAAAATAAAAGATATGTAGCAAATTTTATTATTTTCTTGTTCATTATAGGAAAGGAGGAACACATAGCATTTGATTCACAATCAAATGTAAACGAATGATCTATGATTAAAGTGACTAATAGTGATAGGATTGAACTTTTCCTTTCTCCATTAGCGTATTCACAGCAAAAATGATGATGTTTTCTCATATGCATTTTTTTAAAAACAATATTCGTGACAACGAATTTCATCGGATCTTTTCCATTATTTGTTCCATAGCTATTATCGTGACTCTCAATGGTATCATTAAGTAATTGACTAATAATATTAAATTCAATTTAACCTCTCGCGAATATCTACTTCTCTGTAGGGCGTTTCGAATGCATTCGAACACCAATAACTCAGTGTATCACGCTTGACTGGCAATATATTTTTTTTCTCCACCTCACGTCGTTCACGTTTGTCCAATTGTTGATGATGTTTGGCCATGTTTTTGAAATCACTTTTTAATTGTATTATGTGTTCTTCGTAGTTTTTCAGTTTCGTTTTGGCATCGACCATTGATGCCTGGATCCGTTCTTCGACTAGACGAATATGTTTTTCTAAAACATTTTATTGGTCTAACTATTTGTATTCAAGAGCGGCAATCGTTTGCGAGCTGGTATTGTTGATTTGTTTCTGACCGAGATTCTATACCGTTTGTGTATGAGTAAGATGCAATGTTTTTCCTTGCTCGGATGACAACTCTGTGTCACTTAATTGGTGGTTGCCGATTTCATTGTAAAACTAGATGGACTATACCTTCCACGAAAAACAAGTTCCACATTCATACCCACACTCACACTATCAAATGCATTTTGAATTCGGTATGCTTTGATACAATGACGAAGTAGCCTCTCGAGACTTTTACGATAAACTTTATTGTTCCACACTCGAATAGAAAAAACTAAACGGAAACAACAAAAAGAGCCAAAAAAAAGACAAAGAACAAGTTTTAATATCAAAATATACTTTTTTCTGTTCATTGATAAAAAGTCTATCAAGAGGATAATAGAAAAGCTGTTAGTACAATCCCTAAAAGATAAATTTGTGAAAACCAATATAGATATCATTTCTAATTGCAGGAAGACTGTTTTATTCTATGTATTTCGGGACATCCAATTTCTACTACTATACATTTCAACAGTTCTTTCAAATCGTCTTTCACAAAAGCATTAGATAAAGAATAATATAAGGATGATCAGAATAATAGATGTCGTCCGATAACACGGTAAATAACATGTATGAAATAGCTTGTGTCATGAATGGCTGTCCCTTAGTCGAATTTTAGATTCGCATTAGTCACTTTAGTAGGCATGATCATGAAGAATCGAAAGGAACAAATGGTTCAAACCTTGCAAAGAGGAAACCTGTGAAAGTATAAATTGTAAGTATGCAAAAATCTTCGTTCTATATAAGTGCAATATTGTTAGTCTACGTCGTAACACATTCATGCATTTTTATCGCTTATAAAACAACTACCTGAATTTTGAGTTTCATAATAGACGATCTTGAAAACTCACTAGCACGCATCTTGTTTTTTTATTCAATGAAAGGCGCAGTTTTATCGATTAAAATTTTAAACGAATTCATAAACTATGGTTTCACTTACCTACTTGTTATAGAAATATAGATGTTTGTTTTTTCTTTCTCACAATTTTCATCTATCAAAACGATAGTCCCGAAATGATGTTTCAATTTATAGAGCAGAGAATAAAGATAACAAAGAGTCTTAAGAAGGAAAAAACTAACGTCATGTTGTTCTATGTATCACAGATACTCATTGGTAAAAAAGCATGCCGCCATGAAAAGATGAGTCATTGTAACACATATTTAGGTTAAATGAATGAACATATGTTCTATTAATAATTGTAAGATATATTTTTACAAGAAGTAAAATTTAAATACTTGAAGATTACACATCCAGTAACCAAAATAACAAGTGATCAGTTTTTGAAGGAACAATTGCCACTCTGACTATAACATAGTATTCTGAAGAACTAAGAACTGGAAAAATAAATAAAAAACGTTTATTCACCCAGCATGGTGTAATTACATCATCGTCATACTTGTTTTCGTTCTTCCCAAAGCTAGTGTAAAGGCTGTTCAACGCACAAAGAAATATCACGGCATTAATATTTATGCGAGAAACGGATAAAATGTCTTGTTGCTTGTCCTCTTTTTTGGAAATCAGTCTGTTGAGAAATTTCTTGTCATTGGTTGGGTTGATAATCAATGACTCATCTCTTTGAGAAAAGTTTCTTACACCATTTCAAGGCAAAATAACTTGTTTTAACTCATTCTCTCCTCTTAATGTGTGCCGTGCGAGAGTATTTTCGTTCTTTTGTATAGGGAATCACACATTTGATGCTTCACGTTTCAACATTCGAGCATTTACCAAACGAATTAATCGTTCATATATTTTCTTATTTAAAGCCAGAAGAAAATTTTTATTCGTTTTTTAACTGTAATGATCGCCTACGGAAACTAGTAAAACGTCATGTTTTCTACAGTCGTCGTGTGCTTAATAATGATATTAAAAGACTTTCAAAACTACATAGTTGGTACAAACATTTGGACTATGTCGATGATGGTGTAATATTTCATTTGATACCCTTGAAAGGGGAACAAGCACGAAATGGTTTGGATCCAAAAATTGCTGATGAGAGTGGTATTCATTGGCATTTTTGGAGAGAGAAGCCTATTCCAATAGCTAATCAAAGAATACAACAAATTATTGAGAAATACCCAATTAAACTCAATCCATTATTCTATCCTGGTAGAGTTTTTATAAAACCAAATAAATCTGGATTCAAGGAGTTCGTTCGTCGACATTATGCATATCACTGGAACACTTTGGAAACCACGTTTGTTAGTGAATCATGGAATTACACTTGGACAAATGATATTAAAACTTCGATACTATATATCCAGGAAAATGAGTATAAACGTATGAAAAAAGCAATCTTCGAAGCAGCTGATCGTATATGGAAAGAATTACAAGAGCTGGAAGATATAAATATAATTGAGATACAATACCAACAACAAACAGCAGGCTTTGGACTGGTTGTTCGACTCTGGGAGGTTCCAGAACGCGAATAATATATATGTTTTGATTAATGATGAACAATTTCAACCAACGGTTTGTAATACTACAAAATATTCTGTTGACAATACAGATTTAGGACAAACAGTTTACATTTTTCTAATGTTTATCTTTTGTCTTTGTTGTCAATTATTGATTAATTCTTTATTGCAAGCATGATATCGATCGATGTTTCTTCATCATATTTTTACCCTTCGTATTTTAAGAATAGACTAGATCGACAAGGTTTAGTGCGAGTTTGAGTCTTCCCTTTACCTACTCGCACTCTTCATTATGTCGTTTGTTTCGTGCACAGGACAATTCACAAGCATCCATAGTTCATCTCCCAACGAGTCCAACACGGATGGCCATCGATTTAAGATTGATCTCGATTGAAAATAGATATGTATGACAGGTTTCATAAGACTATCACTCAAAGCTAATGTTAAACTCAAAACAGGGGCGGATCCACCATTTCGGCGAACCGGCGACCGCCGCCTCCTTAAAAATAAATGTATATATATACACAAAATGATTAAAATTATGTAATTGAAAATCTTGCCAAGAGATGCCAGCCTCGCTCTTTAAGTAGAATTGCACGGCTATGATACGTCTTTAGTGATTTACGGCGACAAATGTAGAACGGACATTAATCTTTATTTATACTAATCAATGATTAGTTAAAAATACTTGAAAAGTAAACAAGAATTCACAAGAGTTTAAAGTATTTAAATAAAAACGTGCTATAACTTCGTTTATAAAAGAATAATCTAAATGTCTACCTGAAAGTTTTGAATATTTTCTTATAAGATCTGGCCTTCTGGGAAGAGCTGCTAGAAATCCTTAAAATATACGCTGAAGAAATGTGATTTTTTTTATTTTTAAAGTTACTTTCTGATAAAGCCATTAGGTAGAGCAGTGAATATAAACGAAGAGAGAAGTGAGTAAATAACTGCTACGAAGTACATGAGAATTTTTTATCAAAAAATACAATGGTTATTTTTATTCGAGCTTTCGATGAAACACATTCACCATCGTCAGGAAAGATAACAAGAGAAAAAGACAATTCACATATATATATATATATATATATATATATTGCTGATAAAACGTATGATGATTTAGCTCCAGCAATTGAACTTTATCAGAAATTTTTGCCTGGTTCAATTACTGAAATTAAATCGGAATTTTTATTGTGGAAAAAAAGATGGACACAAATTAACACAGAAAATAGTTCCAATGTATTATCACCTACTTCGATGAACAACACCGCTTCAGTGACCATGAAGCGCAAAGAACAAGTATCTTTACCAGATACAGCAATCGATGCTTATGTTCAATGTGCTGAAGCATTTTATCCAAATATAAAAGTATTATTGCAAATGTTTTCAACTTTACCAGTAACAACAGCTTCAACAGAGAGAACATTTTCTGTTCTAAAACTGTTGAAAACATATTTACGATCGACCATGTCGCAAACAAGACTTAATGGTCTCGCTATGATGTATATATACAGAAATTTAACTGTAAACGTTGATTCTGTGATTAATAACTTTGCTAAGTCTAATCGTCGTCTACTTCTTTAGTTTTTACTGCTAAAATTTTTCTTTAATAAAGATATGTTCCTTTATAAAAAATTAACACTACCTCGGAAGATATATTTTAGAAACCGCCACCCCCTCACGAAAATCCTGGATCCGCCCCTGACTCAAAATGACACAATGAAATTCATTATCCAGCTCGAAATAGCACACCTAGTTGATCTTATGAAAAAAATTCTAAACGGTTGCAATGAAGTCGTCTCAAAAGAAAACAAGCAGACAAAAAAAGAAAAAGTAAGATAAGAGAGTAATGAACGGCTGCAAAAAGCAAATTTTTCTTCAGGGAATTGTTTTCTTTTGTTTTATATTTGAAATCCGATACATTATCGAAATCATCTTTTCTCCAGATGGAATGAGCCATATCAAATTATAATACAATGACAATTATTCAGAATCGTTGCTTATGTTCAGAAGACATATTAGATTGTAAAATAATCCAGATTTTCCGACTATTTATGAATATAAATTGGTAGATTTGGTGAGCCCTATCCAAGCGAAACATCAGTAGAAGTTTTTTCTAGACGAATAGAAAACAGCCATTCTTCTCAAACAGTCATAAATTAAGAATTTGTCAAATCGAATGTTTCTCGAAGCAGAAAGTCAATCGGTTCTTCGACAAATAGCTGAAGCCTGTAATTTGAGTGTTTTTAAGCACAAATAGATCTCCAGTTAGTGTTTACAATACCATAAGAGAACGATTAGATAATCTTCAAAATATCAATGTGTTTCTTCTAAACATTCACAAACCAATGACATCATATTTGAGTGTCTGATGTTACTAGTGATCGAATAGTCAAGTCGAAATACGATCGTGAATACGGGTAACTCTTTGTTCAAGGCGAATGATGAGAAGATCTGGTGTGTATCGAGAAGGCTTAATTCTATCTAATTGAAAAACCAAATTCATGAGCTATAACAATAGATCAAAGTATTTGATTGATGCAATAAAATTGTTTATTTCTGTTTACATTGTGCGTAACAAGTATAACAGAAATTGGAAAATTTTTTTTTTGAGCCTGCTATAGATTATTCAGTTTGAAAAATGAAAATAACATCAATGTACAGAAATGAGGAGAGAGAAAAAAACACATTAAAAAATTAATGATATCAAGCTGGTCTTGCTTTCTGTGGTCGTCCATGTCGTTTGGTCATAGTGAGATTCTTAAGAAATTCAATAACAAAGGTCTAAGAGATTACAACAATACTGAATTCACAAATCACATCACAAGCTAATTTGTATTTTAACATATTTAAAGTGCAAAAAGGCATTAATTTGAATGGCAATAAATAATTTTTACGTTGTAAATAGTTTTTGAGCTTTTGGTGTCGTTTATCAAAAACGGTGTTTTTTTTTAGTAGAGTAATTGCATCATTTGATTTGATGTGACTTCTATTATTTCTTTCTGTGCATAAAAACTACTGACTACTTAGATATCGTTTAATAAGAAACTCATTGTTAATATCCTTTATAAAAATAAACAAAACAAAAAAATGTCAAAATTAACTTGACTCGATTCGAAAAGTAGCTCAACTCGCTAAACCCTGTAGTTTCATCGAGCAAGCGGCGTCTACGTAAGCTCTTACAATTTAGACTAAAAGATGCATATGGAAAATATTGAGATTGAAATCTTCAATTGTTGATTAGGCGTTTGTCGTTATTAAAATTCTCAACAAACAAAACAATTAATATTATTATACTCAAACAATAGTGCAGATTAATTTTTTCAAAACTAAACAAGAATTTTGAAAAAGGATGACTTTACGAAATGAGTCACCTTGTTGTCTTACATTCTTCAGTCCCTCGCTTTCGTACTCACGTTGCACAAAATCGAGATTAGCTGATCGACTATGCTCGCTCAATCTGTTGCCGATTTTTTTCAATTCAATATATAATAGAGTCGGCCGAATATCTTAAAAAATAGACAATTGTCTTTTCGATTGAATTATTGAAATGGCTACTTTCTGTATTCGCTTGAAAACTGAGAACTATTGGGAAATAAACTGCTTAAAAACCGAGTCTAGTCATAATATTCGACTCTAAACGTTGTTGAAGTACCACTTGTACCCGTTTTTTTCTATTCAATTTCGTTTTTAAAATTCCTCCCACTGCTATATTATTTTTCAACAAAAAAGTCACAAGGTAGGACGTTTTTAATGAGATTCTTTCAAAAATATTATCAAAAACTGTTTTCTAAGGTTCACTCAAATTTTTTCAATTCTAAACTTGGCAAATATTGAACTACTGGAGACTTGACAAAATAATTGTGAACTTCATTGTTTAATCGATTCTTATTTGTGTTGTTTGTTGATGACACATGGACAAAAAAAAACCATCTTGGACCAATCCAAAAAATTTTAACCGATAACGATTCCGTCTACAGCTAGGTGCAATTCTGTCTTCGATAAGATTAAGACAGAGAAAACGCATGGCTCAATACGTTTTCCAATGAACAAATATTGTCGAAAACGTTCTAAAAAAGAAATATCAACAGGCAAACGAATCTATTTGCATGTGAAACATGCCATGGAACTGAATATCGATATGTTTCAAAATGGAATCTCTATTAAACAATTCATTCAACAAGAAATTGAAGCCGAATTTCCACAAAATTATCTTATCATCACTCACCGCTATTGCCTAGAAAGGAACATCGTTTACATAATTCTTTTGAGAGTAGTTGCAAAAAGTCAAAAATAATTCCAAAAGGTAAGAAATTGTGTACCGTTTTCTATGTATTTTTCTGTGTGTTTCTCGACATTTTCGAGTTCAGTTAAAAACAGCAGACATCATATTTATGTCCAACATGAAGAGAAGCCTATAAGAAGTTATTAATCTCTACTATTTTACAGTAAAATTTGTTAAAATACAACCATTGGGCCTTGATTTTAGGCGAAATTGGAGGAGTTCCATCTACCACAATCCTAGAATAGGGAGTCCGATTTTTTAAACATTAGTAGTGCCCATTAAGGTCTACATGGAAAAAACTTTTCATCAAATTCTGACATGTAGTTTTTGAGCAAATCGAGACCAAACATGGGTTTTTCGACTCTCAGATCCTTGAAAATCATATATCTAGAGCAAAAAGTGCTTTCGAAAAATTCAGTACATTGTCTTTGAATGACCATGGTATAGGCTTCATTTTGATTATCATATGTTGGGATCTTAGACTAAATGTATACATTTCATAAGCACTACAATTTTAGCATAAAGCGCCAATTTTATCAATTTTGCAAAAGTTCCCAAACAATGAATTCTAGAGACATAGTACTGAAAATTACTTTACATAGACAATCTTTTATGCTTTATTCAAGGGTAAAACCGAAATATCTAAAGAATGTTCACGAACAATAAAACAGAAAGACTCGGGGGGCCAATTTTCAATTAACTAGACCAGAGCTACAAAACTAGCATACTTACATCTTGCCGGCAGAATGCCCTGTAAAAAATTGGCGAAACTGCGTGGAAGTACCTCGGAATGAAAATGGTAAAAAAAATACTATTTTCTATTGTACACTCAATTTGGTCTGAAATTTACGAGCCATAAATGACAGTGGAAATAAATGATATTGATGACTGAATCACATTGTTCTTCAGATGTTAATTTTCTGTATGAAATATTTGAGATAGTACCAAAGATATGAAGTGAATACACCGAGCCCTATACGTAGCAAGGAATCAGATGATAGAAAAGAAGATAAAACAAATACGAAGGCAAAGATAAAACATGGTAAAGCGATATTAAAATTAAGGTTATCGGCTTAACATCGATATTTCATCAACTTAAAGCTAACAGTCATACTTTTGTACTATGATCCTAAGATAAAAAATGCAATTTGTATTAATTGATCTAATGTTAAAGCGAAGCTGGTATCTCCATCTAATTTCAAAAATTTTATATTAAAGTTGTAACACAAAATTATGGTATTAGTCAGAGATGCCGGCTTAGCTTCAGCATTACGTTAATCAACACAAATTGCAATACTTTTGTCTTAAGATCGTAATACAAAAATATAGCTGGTAGCATAAAGTTAATACAATGCTAATGCTAAGCCGACATCCCTAATTAAAATGCTTTTGAATCGACATAATTGCAGTGGTGTCAAACAGTCATAAATAATGACAAAAACTGGTGTATGTTATAAGCATTATTTTAGCATTTTTAAAACTATTTTCACTGTTCAAAAAAAATATTATTTTAGTGGATCACAATGGAGACTTTTTTCGGCTTTTTTTGTGAACGTTTCGTGTCATTTTACCATTTTTTATGCCTGCATGGGGGTTGCTACTTACCCTTTATGACTTTTAAAAATCTTGATGATAACCATACAGATTCAGTTATATAACTCTAATAGAATAAAAACTTGCGCATTTTAAAAATAAAAGCAGAGTCTAATCACACGAATGAAGAAATTCTAAAAACCTAACTCTTACTCTATCCCAATTCGTTTTCAACACTGATTTGAGCCATGTTTGTCATAAGAAAGACGTACAGCAATGATATCTATAATATTTTTCGAAAAAAAATATTTGATAACATAGCCAAAATTTAAAAAAAAGTACTAATCATCTATAAATAATATTTTATTAGACTCTTAGTCATATTCATTCGTATCAACAAAGTTGCCAACCATAATATATGCAGTCAGTTTCATACGATTTATAATACCATTATCAACAAATTGAAATTCTTGTAAGTTCATTGCTTGTAAACCTGCTGGTATTGTAGTGTCGTCTTCAGTAGAAGATATAGTAAATATAAGGTAATATTTTCTTAATTGCGAAATACTTCATATTGATATGGCTGATCAACGTCCATTATAAGAATCGAATACACCACATGGTGATTCAGTACAGGTACTATGATAATTCTTAATGAATCTTGATAGAACGTCTCATCTTAATGAAAAAATTGAATTCAAATGTTCTTTTTTTTATAGAATCAACCGAATGTAGCTGTTGGTATTAGGGTATTAATTGAGCAAAACAATATGTTGCATAATGACAATACAACTTTACATCAACAAGTTCAACACTTCCCATGTCTTAAAAACCTGACCAAAACCGGCGGTTTACCACGATTTTACCTGTCCGGTTACCGGCTCCCATTACATAGAATTTACCGCGGTAAACCGGCGGTTTTAACGAATACCGCGGTTTACCACTAATATAATTCAGTTAACCGGATCACCGATGATCTTTCAAAATTTATTGCTCCAGATCATCGATTGGACCATTTTAAGCATCTTTTTTAAACTGGTCGATATGATAGAAATTTTCAAAAACAATACCGGCGGTTTACCGCGGTTTTACCGATCAAGTTACCGGCTCCCATACAAAGGCTAATGCGGTAAACCGCGGTTTACCGCTAAAATTGATCCGGTATTCACAACATGGGTTAGTGTTACAATTAAATCAACAACAAATTGACTCTGATCGACAACTTCGGGAAACGTTATCAAATTTATCAGAGTCAAATAGAATGTTAATAATTGAACTTGATCGAATTAAAAAAGAAATTTTTGATTTAACTGAAGACAATAATCGTGCTACACAAGGAAATACGTCTTTAAATAAACAAATTGATGATCTTAAAGATGAAAATATATGTTTAAATAAACAAATTAATGATCTTAAAGAAGAAAATATGTTTAAAAGAACATATTAAAAGTTCAAAGGATCGACTAAATCTTTCAAAATAAAAACTTTAAAAACAAGAAAAAAAATTTGATAAACGTTATAGTTAAACTAGATGATTATTTTTTTTTATGATTGATCTTTTATTATTTTTTCTTGAATCATAACCTTCATTTGGCTACACTTCATTATTGTTTTTTTGTTGATCTTCAATAAAAAGTAGTATATGTAATAAGAATACCAGCACAAGAAGACTTTTCAACAGTCATTTACAAGATAAATCTATTAACTTTTCTCAATTTTGTTCCTTTATCATAGGATTTATAATCAACCATCCACAAATCACGTAAGTAAAAAGTAGCGTCAAGGAAGAATATCTATGCTTCAACCAAGATACGTTCGATATTCTCCAGAAATAATCCTTGAAATTGTCCTGGATACAATGTTGGTATTTCTAAGGATAAAGAATATTCGATATTCGGTTTTTGCACAATGTTGGTTAGATCAAGATAAAAACCCATAAATCGGTCTCTATTATGAGTATCACGAGTATTATATCCTTTATTTACCAATACAGTGACATTGTTGATTTGAGCTGTGACATTACATCGATCATCTGGATTGATAATACATATAAAGAGTAATAAACGATGTGGCCCTAACCATGCTACTTCAGTCAATTCATCATCAGTCCAAGCAATCGGATACTCTTGTTGACGTTCAATAAATTGTTATAATAATAAATCACTGACAATGATTGAATTATTCATGATTTGTGCTGAACGAGGTAGATATTGACCAGGAAATGAGAGAACATCGATTAAGATGATCAATTCTTTTACTTGTTGAAAACGTTTCTCATTTCCATTCAATACAACAATTTCAATTATTTGTTCATCTGGCATAATGACAAATATTGTTTGGATTGTTTGTGTACCGGCTTCACCATAGACCCCATTGATCATTAGAATGTTCTTATTTGCAACAAATGCTGTTCCCCTAACTCCGATCACAACTGGTTTCAAAACACGTGAGATAAAACTCAATTCGAAGACACTAGCACTTTGACCATCCAATAGAAAATCAACTGTTTGATTGTATTCGATGAGTTGCAGATATTTGTGTTCCGGATATATTTCACTTAATAACCAATAACCTTGTTGAGTTGGTGATTTGATATTTAATTGACCATCGAGTCGAATTATTCGATGTTCTTGAACACAATTTGGATTGAAGAGGAATAGAAAATCATCGATACCATTTAATTTCATCAATGACCAATTATGTTCAGTCGAGAATGCAATAGAATTGCGTATTTCTTCTAGATGTTTATCAGTCCATTGTAACCAATAAGTCCAGAATTGTAACATTCGTTCTGGTAAAAGATAGTATTCTTGAGGGTCTCTTGCTCCTATCATGGTATGAATAAGATTGAGTCCAGATGAAACCACATTTGCTAATAATAAATATGGAAAAACCATTAGATCGAAATCTCTTATATCGTGATCTTGTCATGGCAAACCACCATAAACTGAAAAACGTTCCGATTGATGTCCAATAAAACCTGGAATACTATCCATTGATGCAAAATGTTCTAAACGTAATTCACGATTACCTGGAAGCATGAAATTTGCTGCAATTTTGTCAGTATGTAAAGAGGGATAACGAATCGGATATGTCTCGGGATTTTCATCGGCGAGTAGAGCCGATGTATAACCATTCAAAGTTATCCAAGACCATGGTCCATCATATTGGGATCCATAACGATGATCCATGATTAGATGAGGTAGAGCTAAAAGTAATTGAATAAGGATCCATTGCCAACTACGCCATTTTGAATAGATTGTATGATTTGTATCAAAGAAATAATTATAGTCCCAAGCATAGCCACCAATATCTAACGAGAAAGGGACAGAGAGAAGTGTGATTGGTAAGTAAGAATATTTATAATCGTGAGATTTTTAAGGTACGGAATCATCACCGCTAGAATTTTTTCGCTGTGAACGCTGTTTCATTCAAACAAGAAAATTTTGTTTCTGTTCTCAATTTTTTATACTGAGGAATAAATTGGGTTTTGTGTCTTCAGTCTGATGATTCTGTTTCTCATAAAGTCGCAAATGTTTTGATTGGTTAACCAAAAAGAACAGAATAATTTTCTTTATTCTAAGAGCTATGATATATATTGGAGAAGTTTGGATGCTTTTACAGCCATGCTTTAATCATACGATGAATTCCGAATGCTCGGTAAAAGAATTCTAGAGAATAAGAACTCAAAGTCGAATTACCTGTAACTTGCGCAAAATCAATCAATAATTGAAGAAAATAATGTTGAAATTCTACACTAGCCAAAGACGCACACAAATTTCGACAATGTGGGTTTTCAATCAACCATGCTTGATCTTGTCCATTGAGACGGTAACCTAAGGTTGGATAAACATATGATACTAATTTGACTTGTTTCGTTGCCGCATAATCTAATAGATATTGAACTGTTGGTGGTATCGAATCATGATAAGGTTTCCATTGTTTTAATCGAATTTTTTCGCCTAAACTCATCCACAACACACTCTCCCATCCCCAATCATCAGTACCCTGATCACGTCGTGATACATTGGAATTCGATGGTGCAAAAGTAATGCTTGTTATATCAAGTTGTGCCCATCGATTGATCAAGCGTGTATACTCTTCAACACCGCGTTCAGTCGATATATCGATTTGATAATCATTATTATCCCAACCGACAACATGTTTAAGTGATTGATTATGTTGTGGTACAGTAAAAAAGAATAATGTAGCATTGACATAGGCCTGTCGTTCAGCATAGTTAATATCATTCGTATGCCAATAGGGAGATAATTGATAGAAACCGATGAGAAAACCTTCACTCATATAGGATGTTTCAATACTGGCATTGTATGAACTTGTCACTGTTTGATTATTCGATGTAATAGAATAGAGACCAAATGGATGTTGCCATGTGGCAAAAAGTTTCGAGGATGTTGAGTCAGTACGTAAAAAAACTCGTATGCTGTCTATTTGTATCTTGTTAATTTAATATGATTGAGGCCGATGAAATATTCATGTTGGTAATAGTAAAAGTTGTTTCTACAGATGTTATTGTTTAATTATCATTATTTTTGAAATCGAGTTGTTTTTGTACAAACTGCCGTCCTGATCGGAGTGTGTAAATCGTTGCTAACTGGTAGTTCGTATTGTTTGAACATGAATAACTAAATGTAATAGAGTCTAAATCTCGTATATAATACAAAGGTTGTGAACAATTAAGACGAACATTATTGATAAATAGTGAACTCGTTTCATTCACAATCGTAATCAAGGAAGACTGATAAGTAAAAGATAATATTTGGTCAGTGCATGAATCAAATTGAACCAATAAATATTCGTTCGATAATGAAAATTGACTTTGACGATGAAGATGAATAGTCATCATTGCCGAATAAATGACAAGCAAAAGTACAAGACCAAATTTGACATATGATATCGAATGAATTTTGGAATGGTTATCAATTTTTTTTCTCTTGATTTTTTCGGCTGAACTATAGATGATATTTCCGAGTATATTTAACATAAGTATCCCAATTGTCAAATTCAAAATTTAATTTAGAATAAGACAACATAAAAATTATCATGATTACTATAATCCAGTGAGTTTTACAGCATTCATTGGTTCCTCGATGTTGTCTCAGTATTATCTTAATGACTTACTTTTTATAGATTAAATTGGATATACAGAAAAAAAGAACTTCATTACTGCATGTTCTTTCTACACCGTAGTTGAAGGCGTAGAGTATAAGAAAAAAATTGCTGTTTTTGTTAAAAAAAAGAATCAAGCAATTGAAGCCTAGAAACATACCGAATATCTCAAGTGGTTTGTGTCACATGCTGCAAACGACCGGAGAGCGTAAGAGACTGAAGATTTGTTTACACTTTCTTTTTTCATCCTTTGTCTTCCTGTAAGAGACGCTACCTATGGCAACTGTATCGTACGTTTCTATGAAATAGAATAGCTACAAAGGAATCATTAAAGAAGCATGAAAACCTACCGAACCACAATAGTGTCGCTTGGAGAACAGTCATAATTGTGCCAACACAAAAGAAAGAAATACTGTAATTAATTGAAAAAATTTTTTATGCATTTTTTATTAATCCATTGCAACAGAATGTTAAGTGATGGTATTATTTCCATGTTCATTTTTATGAACAACAATAACCACGAAAACTATCGACCATTATCATTTTATGGTGACGAAGAAAATACGCCTATTTTGGAGCTTAACAAATTATTGGTTACATCGGGGTCGTAATGCTCTATCGCTAATTAAAAAACAGTTTAATAGAAAAATTTCGTAGGAAAACAAATGAGAACTGATCTCAACTTTTTTCTATATTATTACAAAGCTTTTACATTGGTTTCAACAAGTTTTCATTCAACAAAAGAAATCATCACAAGCTGAACAGATAGCAGATTGCTTTTGAATTACAATAAAACCTCTCTATGTGGGTACTTCCTCATTCTGATTAGTGAGCGCCTATTCCTAGTTCTGTGGGTTATAAAACAAACTCCGCCATGCGAGAAATCTATGTATAAGAAGGAGATGAACTAAAGATGGATATTAAAAAAGAAAAAAATTCTTAGGCAGTAACAATAGTTCTCAGTGAAATATCTCGTCATTTTGTGTTGATGGCATAAAAATTATTTTAAGATGCAATATTTGTCAAAAAGACATGAAATTTTAAACTTTCATAAGCTATCACTCGAATATAATTGAACAGACCATTTATCTATGGAATTATGTAGAACATGATAATATTCACATTTTTCTTTTTTTCCAAGTGATACTCAACAAATAGTTGTGATCTTCCGGAATAGCATAGTCGAAATATGTCATAGATATAATTGATTTATTCTTTTTTTCAAACTGCATTCAGTCAAAACTGTAAACAGCTCTCAGACATTTCTTTAGCTGGTATTTCATTTTGTATGCAGAAGAAATTTGCAACTTAGATTTTCTTTAGGAAAAAGCGTGTTTTCTCCTCAAAAAAATTTGTTGCAAATTTCTTCTGCATAGACGATGGAACACTAGCTAAAGGATTATCAGTTTCTGGTATTTTTGCGTAAAATATTAAGATATCGTCTTTCTAGAGAAATTGATTTTCTATGTATAACTACTTCTATTAAATACATTTGTAGTGAAAGAAGAGTTTATTTGATAGATATTTGCAAAAGAAAATGGAACTGATTCTATTTCTGTCGTCTATTGATTATCGCATTCATTTGATTAAACACAGTTCTATTATTATAAATAGAAGTTTTTGATTGACTAATAAGATTCTAATTAATAAAGAAATCCAAATTATAATTGGCAATGTTGGCGACTAATTATGATTTTCTTCATGTACTTCAAAAATACTATAGTTGGAGACCACAACTGTCCTACTATGGATTAATCCTTGCACAAGTTATTGTAGATTAGTTTTTGAGATCACTCATCCGATATTATACTTACTCACTATAGTACGTATTTGCTGTTTCAGTTTTGACTGANTAATGTGTGTCACCTGCGAAGATGACAATTTCATTCTCTCCAAGCTTGTATCTGCATTGCGATAGTTAGGGTGTGGGTGTGGTGTGGTTGTGGGTGGGTGTGGGTATGGGTGTGTGTAGGTGTGTGTGGGTAAGTGGGTGTGGGTGTGGGTGTGGGTGGGTGTGGGTGTGGGTGTGGGGTGTGGGTGTGGGTGGGAATCTTGTTTTCACTACACCACTCCCACACCGGCACCCCACACCCACACCCTAACTATCGCAATGCAGATACAAGCTTGGAGAGAATGAAATTGTCATCTTCGCAGGTGACACACATTATCTCTTATCTATGTTTCTCACGTTGGATTTTTCTATTACACTGTTACATGCATGAGTCATCTTTCGCTCTTTATTTTTCATGCCTTTTATTATACATAAGGTGGGTGTGGGGTGTCGGGTGTGGTGTGGTTGTGGGTGGGTGTGGGTATGGGTGTGTGTAGGTGTGTGTGGGTAAGTGGGTGTGTGGGTAGGTGGGTTGTGTGGGTATAGGTGTGGGCGGATGTGGGTGTGAATCTTGTTTTCACTACACCACTCCTACACCGACACCCCACACCCACACCCACCCTTTTTTTAAATTTATATATATATATATTGAAAGAGAAAACTTCGCTGCATGTTCCTATGATAAAAACTCGAATTCAATTACTTTACCAAAACATGGATTTTCTGAGGGGGGGGGGGCTTAGTAATTTATTGTGAAAATTAATCAGATTTATTTCCCTCGGTAAGCAAATATGAGATTAAAATTGGTGGATGCGATTGAATACATTAATCATGAATTAGGAGTACTTCAGTAACTATTTTGCATATTATTCACGGTAAAAAGAAAATTATGATTATGCTAAGCAAATGCTTTGTATTGCAATAATGCATTATGATTGTTTGCGTCTCTATCCTGCGCTCTTAAAAGGAGAGAAGATTACTAGCATATAAACTCAAAAGAAAAAGTTTATGATTTTGATACTTTTTGTTATGGATGCTTTCTTTTCCACGAAGTTGAATGTCGAAGCATATAACAAGTAATACAAATCTGTTTTGTTAAATTTTTGGTCAATGATTAACGATTTAATATTTAGCATGCAGCAATTTAATGCACTTATCGACGAACTTCTCTTTCTCGATATGGTAAAATACATTAAAAATAGCTTTTTATTTATCTGAAATTCAAATCTTTGTTTTTATTGCCATGTTATCATTATTATCATCAAAAACTAACGATCACGATTCAACTACGATTGATTTATTGTATCATCTATGTAAAGAAAATGAAATAGAAAAAGTTCGAAATACTTTACAATTTATTGACAATAGAAGTATCATAAATAAAATTCACCCATCAACCGGTTCGACATGTTTGCATGTTGCATGTTATTATGGACATCGAGAAATAGTACAGATTTTGTTAGAATATGGAGCTTTACGTTCAACAATCAACTTACGATATAATTTAACAGCTTATGAAGAAGTTGATACAGATGATATAAAACAATTATTTTTACAACAAAAACAATTATTTTCAAATAATGATTATGATTATATTGAGTGGTCAATCATAGGTGATGCTCTGCTTGATAAACGACGTGAATTTCGTCAAACTATTGATTTATATAAAACCTATGACAATCATCATTTAATATCAAAATTATTAGTTGAAGTTATTCAGTATTATTTAGATGAATATCTGACAAATCAAAGTCATAAAAATGGGAATTTAGAACATCAAACTATTCGTAAAGAAATTGAAATAATTCAAGAATGTTTTAAAGAAGCCATAGAAAAACAAGATTATTTAACATATTTTATAAAAGCGTATACATTAACAACATGTTTTTTTAAAGAATTAAATAAACATTTAGCTCTTTATATATTAGAATATTTCGACAAAACAAAATATTTTTCATCAAATTATCGTCTTGTCAATTGTCTTAGTCATATTATAACACTTTTAATTTATCATCCAAAATTACCTCAATATCGATTCCAAGGTGTATGTTATCGTGGCATGAGAATAACACAACATGATTTAAATCAATATCAATTAAATCAACATATATTAAATCGTTCATTTTTATCAACTTCTATTGATCGTCACGTAGCTGAAATGTTTGCTGGTGAAGGTCAACAATCTCATTTGAGACATTCTCATCATAGTCATCGTCCTTTACAATATTCATGTTTATGTAAATATTTAATTAAACAAAATTCAACAGCTATTAATATTGAAAGTTTATCGATGAGACCACATGAAAAAGAAATTTTAATTATTCCATTTAGTGTTTTTAAAGTAATGAATATTAAACGAAATTATCCTATCTCAACAAACACAATTTCAATTGAAATTGAATTAGAAGAATGTGAAGATGCAAATAATAATACTAATGAATTAAAAAGTAAGAGACTTTTCTTCAGACATATTTCAAAGAAAATTTAATCTTTCAATTCTTTTTATTACATTTTTAGATGTTGAAATATCGAGAATCGAACCATTTTTATCGTCTTATGATGATATAAGAAGCCACAGAGAATATCGAAAACTTCAACTTCGCAAATATCTTCTTTATGGCATCAATGGATTTTTACCGTTAGCTTTCGTTTTGGCTTTAAGTTTCACATTCATTGTGACTTCTGTTATTCAAAAAAATAACTCTACAAGAATGGTGATATCTACAAAAGAAAACGATACTGATGCCGACTATCCATTACCACCGGGTAAAAGTTAGACGAGAAAAAGTTTGTTAGAGAATAGTCTATAACAAACTAAAATATTGGAAGTTCCACAAGATATTTGTCTTGACTTCTAAACAGTTTGATCAGAATTCGCTCTTTCCTTATTGACAAATACAACCACTGACTGTAAACAGTAGCGAAGTCTCTGTTTCTCTTAACCCAAAAGCCTGGCTCTGCCACTGACTATGAGCTCAGATGGTTCACATCGCACAATTGTTTGCGGTATCATCAGTACACCGTGGTACCTATAAAAACTGGCAGTAGCGCTTGCGACTTTTGGTTTCAGCTACAAACGATTGTGGACAGTGTTTTCTATCAAAATTCGAAATATTTACTAGAAAGAATTTAAATTAACCAAAAAAAAACCAATTTCAAAATATATTTTACTGTTAAAAATTTATTTCATAACCGAGGCCGGTTTGAACTCTGTGGTTAGCTGAGGTGCCTCAAACTCATCAAAGCTAACGGGTTACATTGTCAATGCCTCAATTTGATCAGTTTGGTTAACTTCAAAAAATATTCATTCGTTTTGATACAATACACTATGATATAACACTTTGCAAAACAAAATCGACGACAGTTTATCGGTAGTTATAACATAGGACGGAGGCAGTCATTTCACTAATTCTATATTTCATAGACTTCAAGAAAATATGTAAACTTGATGTATTTAGAGTAAAGTTTTATTTACAAGAAATACTAAAACTTCTTGTTTGTTGAACAAGTACAAAATAGCCATGTTTGATGTGCATTTCTTATAGGTTGTCCCAATATATTAAGCCGATCTAGATGGAATGCACGTCCATATATAGCTCGTGACAATTTATCAGTATTCCCGGTTAGATATATTGTAATGAGACCAATAGAATATCCGAACTCAATTATGAATCAACAAGACTGTATTAAACAAATAAAACAATTTCAAGATTATCAAATGGATAGATTAGGCTGGTTTGATATTGGCTATAATTTTATCATATGTAATGATGATCGTGACCAACAACAAATTTATAGCGGTAGAGGATGGAAATATATTGGTGCACATTGTAAAGGTTACAATTTCAAATCATTGGGTAAGAATTTGTTTTTAATTTCCTAGAACAACGAATCTTAGATTCTTGTCAATTTCATCTTGAGCTTGCCATTGCTTTATTAGAAGTAATTAAAATCTTATACGAATTTTGATGTGTATGGTTATATAAGGGTTCTATTGCTTCACAATTTAGCATTTCGAAATTTAAAATCATGTTGTTTTGTTTTGTAACAGGTATTGGTATTGTGGGCAATTTTACCAGCATTAAATCAATGAACATATTTAAGTCATTAATTCAATGTGGTATTATAAAGAATGCTATTATAAAAAATTTTACTTTGCTTGGAGAGTCAAAAAATAATTATGAATATTATTTGAACTATTTTAGAAATGATACCGACCTTCAATATAGCAATAAAGCTAGCAGTAAACAATTTTTTTGTCACTAGTTCAGAAATGTCTGATTTTTATCGATTCTAAAAATCTATCTTTTTGCAGTTGATATTGTAAGAAATTTGTTAATAAACACTGAAAAATATGAATCAAGCACACTCGAAAGCACTGTTTAACAATATTCGATATTTATATATAAATATAGGGTGACTTCACGAACTATTACATTCGGTATACAATGCATGCCGTTGTGGATGTGGTGTGATTGAAGATTATTCGTACGCCCCATACCCACACCAACCCCCTTGTTGAATATCTCATAGCTATACAATATTATTCACTAGAACAAAATTCTTTACATTAGTTTCTCACTTTTTCCTCCTAATAATGAAGAAAAGATTGAAACAAAAACGATGTGAGAATATGGTTAAAAGTATTGGATTTTACTTTTCTGATCATAGGTGTTCATCGTGGATAGAACTTTATAAAGAACACAACTTTGCGTCGAAATACTAGTTAATAACTGTGTTAATTTGAATAATTTTAAACAACGATTCCATTACACTGTCAAAAACATCGAATTCGCTCATTTAAATTATTTAAATCGTTAGACCTATCTATCTATCTATATAATTCTCAGTGTGTGCCTGTGTCAGGGTAAAAGATCACCCTACTACCTCTCACCACTGACCTTTAACCTGAGAACAGATAGGCACACACTAATTATTATATGTATATAGATGTTGATGATCATTCATGCAGATTATATTATTCAACAAACAAATGTGTTTTTGTATTCTAAGTAACAGCATAATTAGTTCTTTTTGAAAGTTCAATTCATTAATAATGAATATATAGATAATGTTATATTCTTTTGAACAATTATTGGTCTAGGTGTTTTATTTAGAGAACATTGCTATCATTTATTTTTCATATCAATTTTTGCTATAAATTTTTTAGTTTATATTTCACACATAATTAATTTCCAAATGAAGAAATGTTTGAAAATCTTATCTAAATCGATATTTCTTGTTAAAACTCATCAAAATAGCATAATCAGAATTGACATAAGGTCGAATTATCTATCTGGCATAAGCATATGGTTGTTTTGAAACTTTTGTAATCGATTCTCATTGACGAATAAGACAATAGTCAATTCTAATGTTGAAATAAATCGATTTTCACTAAAAAAAAAGTTTTTGAAAGAGCTATTCTAACTGATCTTTTGTTTTGAGGAAAAAGTAATGAATTCTCTTATTCGAGAACATACATCTTTGAATAGAAGCAGATACTTGATCACTTCATTTCTTCTTCATCTTTTTCAAGAAATACATGCGCATCTTTTTGTTTTTGGCCTGTGATAAACATACCACATTCATTAATAGAATAGATGGAAAGACGTTTACGCCTATTTTTTCCTCTGTTATAAGAAAAAAAATAGGAAGAAAACTTAATAACTAAACAATTATTTACCTAATTAGTTTATTAATTAAATAAATAAATAATAAATATATGCCGCATTTCATAAAGAAGTATGAAAATCTTTTCATGGATAAAATGTGATCAATTTTGAAAACATTTAAATTTACAGTAATTCTGGACATTACATAACAAACACAAAAGATCGGCAAGTACTGAAAAAATCATATTTTTTATAGGATGAAAAAATTCATTGTACAGTCATTCATATGCAGAAAGCTATCAACAAATTTTCTTGGCTATTTTGAAAGATTTTACTTTTTGCTTCATCTGATCAAAGATATGTTATTCATAGAGTAAATAGACGCATAATTCTTATTAAATTAGAAGTAAAATTGGAAAGATGCAATCCAAAATATAAATAATGTGCACTGTATTGTTTTTTTATGAAAAGTGAAGGAGTTTGCTAGGAATTAGTTTCTAATAGTAATTTCTCTTGTGCTGTGTATGAGAAGATAATTGAGAAGTTTGTTCTTTCTATAACTTATAGAACATTATGTTCGCTGTTTCTGAAAAATTTAGCAAACATTAAGTTGAGTCAAACAAGAAAAAATATTAGTGTCACTTCAAAACGTATAAATAAAATATAGTTCTCTTTTTAAAAAGTTAATCTAATGAACACAAATAAGATATAATTTTATAATCACAAAATAAATCCAGACAATATTTTTCTCTTGAGCCACAATAAACTAACAGACAAATAGAAAACCACAAAATCATTTAGAATTTCTTCGAAAATGCTACATTAACAATTATAGGCCTCTATATCGATGATATTTTTCTGTTGTACACAAAATAGGTATAATATGGACTATAACTCAAATATGGCTGCTACTAACTCGACTCCTTGTACACCACCTCTTGCCTTTATATTGAGACCGACTGATGATGACTCATGTTGTTCTGTCGCTTGTTAATATAATACCTTACTATACTATTTTTTGTTTCTTTTACACAACAATTATTGCGCCAAAGTATTCGACACATGACAACAGCAACTAACAAAAATCTTTGTACTGTATGCCATAAAAAAGACGCACCATTAAGTGTGAAGGTTGCTCACAAACTTTTTGCTATACAATCATTTGGAAAATCATTTATTTCAGCCACAAAAGCATCCATTGATGGAACAAATTGATCAATGGAAATGTGACTCAATCAACAAAATTCGACAAACAGCAGAAGAAGCTAGACAATTCTTAGTTAAACATACTACTAGGCATATTACTCAAATAGAAGACAGACTAAATAAACTGACTAATCAACTACATCAATGTCGTCAAGAAAATGACTTTGCTGAAACAGATCTATGTAAATGGAAAGAACAACTGGCTCGGCTACAAGAAGAACTTATCAGACCTACAAATATCAGAGTTCGACAAGGTTCTGCACCATATACATATATAACAAAGGTTGATATCGATCTATCCGACAATGGTAAGTGTCTGATTTATCATCTATTGATGGGAAGAATGCTACAGAAGACTTGAAGATCACTCTTCTGTATACTGCCCTTTGTAAAGAATAAATGAATATAATTGATTTTTGTTAGAATATAGCTTATATGAAGCTAGAATATTGTAATGATTGGACCAAATAAAAATAGTTTAGTTGTTTGATACGAGAACCGTTTTCATTAGCATTCAATGTATGAGAACGAAAATATCTTAGCACAACTTATGAATAGTAGGATCTAAACAAAACTATTCAAATGAATGTTAAGTTCAATGGATTATCATTCTCGAATAAGTATATTACAATACACTACTCATTCTAAAAGAAGATTTTTTTTTGATTTCGCTAAAATTAAAAATTAGTCCGTGCTTCTAGTTTTATCTAATGACTATTTTCTGATTTACAACATTAGATAAAATATATTCCAGAAGTTTTGCTTTTATTAACAGTCCATAGCAATTGGATAAGACCTCATAATCATCTATATGGAACGACCCAATCAGTCAGTTTTAACGAAAATGAAATTAAGTATTCGAGAGCTTTTCTTAATAGTTTCAGTAAAAACACTTACATCTATCAATATTTTTTTCTACATAAACCAAGTGATAAGCTTGTTTCGTTTGATACATATCAGTTGCAATGAGCATGCCTCTGATGACATAAATATTAAAAATGAATGAAGAAACTATTACGTGACGAAGTGGCATATTGCACAGTAAGATATATATAATTAAAAGAAGTAAATATATATTGAAGTCTACCTGAAAAATAGACGAGACCAAATATATTGACCAGTATATAAAGCTGAGCAATGATCATCTATTTTTCGGTATTTCTTATTCAAAGATTAGTATGCCATTCTATTCAATTTGTCCTATATAGTTACAAAGATCAATTTCTTTTTACATAACGACAAGAAACAGATTGTTGTCAAACTGAAAGAAAGAGAAAAGTGATAAAAGTTTTTCAAGAAAACAGAAAACTCAGACGAAAAATGTCAAGAAGGAAAAAAATGTTGTGAATCATACTTGTCATTCAGAAAATCAAATGAGAATAATATAAAGTTTAGAAAGTACTAAGCTTGGAAAACTATCTTTTCAAGTTCAATATATTTTCGAAATAGATTATAGCTGACTGAATCGAGAAGTTAGTATAATCAATCAACCTTGGTTCAGCTACTTGTTTTTGTTAAACTTCGGAAAGCAACATCCTTTTGTGCTGCAATCAGAAAACATCATTTTCATTTCATGACATTCGTTTCTATCAGACAGAACTGATAAGCTGTCATTATGAATATACATATTTTGTTTTATTGTAGACCTTAGTTTCAATGCAAGATGGATACAGGATGGAATCACTGTAGCTGGAGACAATGGACAAGGCAACTCATTAAATCAATTGTATTGTCCATTTAGTATGTTTCTTGACAATGATCAAACTGTCTATATTGCAGACTATTATAATCATCGTATTGTGGAATGGAAATGTGGCACAACATATTGTCTAATAGTTGCTGGTGGAAATGGAGAAGGAAATCGATTTGATCAATTGAATAGGCCAACAGATGTGATTGTCTTATCATCTGTGATCGCAGAAATCGACCACTAGTGCAATGACCTCGTCGAAATGGTATAAATGGACAAACTATCATCTCAGACATCGATTGCTGCAGCTTAGCAATGGATAACAGTGGATGTCTCTATATCTTTGACACTGATAATAATGAAGTGAGACGATGGAAAATTGGAGACACCAATGAAAGAGTAGTTGCAGGAGGTAATGGAAAAGTTAATCGTCTCAATCAGCTCAATTGTCCTACTTACATCTTCGTCGATGAGAATCGTTCAGTATATGTGTCAGATCAAAACAATCATCGTGTGATGAAGTGAATGGACGGCGCAAATGAAGGCATTGTTGTCGCTGGTAGTCAATGTCAAGGAAACGGTCTTACACAACTGTCATGTCCTTCTGGAGTGACTGTCGATCAATTAGATACTGTTTATGTGATAGATAGTTGGAATCATCGGGTCATGTGTTGATCGAAAGGTGCCACACAGGGCACTGTTTTTAGTAGTGGAAATGGACACGGAGAACAAGTAACTCAGCTCAATCATCCTTTGGGTTTGTCATTCGATCAAAAGAGAAATCTTTATGTTACCGATCAGAACAATCATCGAATACAAAAATTCAATATTGATTCTAGTTCCCATTCGTAATTAGTAAGAGTCAATCTCGATGAACTGTCATTTTCTGCTTTGTCAAATGATGAATCAAATAAAAATCAGAACTCCTTGAAGTTGAAGAACGTCTATCGAAAAATAAGATCTGTCTTGTTAATTGATGCAATCAATGTTTAGAATGAAAAATTAATGCCATCTTCGACATTCATCACCTATAGTGTACCCGCTGAAGTTCCTTATCATTTTTCATCGGTTTCTCAGCCAATCGACGAGATTTTGATCAGATCAATTTTAGTAGTAAGTTTGTTTTGGAAAATGACATTGATAGCAGATGAAACAAGACATCACATTTTTGCAATCACTAGATATCCTTATCAAGAGCAATACTCAATTGTGATTCAAAAATTACCCGAAGACATATTGGGGAGTGGGATAGAGACCTGCGAAATCAAGTTTTTTATTCCGAAACCTGACTCCGACCCCGAAAAATTTCTTCCTCACGACTCTGGCTTCAACTCCGAGAACTTTTATTTTCTGACTACGATTCCAACTCTGAAAAACTTAAACATTTTTTTACCGAAAACGAGCGACCTGCAATATTTTTTATTATTGAATTTTCACTGCATAACGAATGAAAAAGCAATTCTAAATTAGTCTTTCAATGTTTCTTCGATTTTCATTCATTCCTTTGTTTGTTTATCGATTTGTGCATTTTGAAAATTCAATAATAAAAAATATTNATTGCCATTTTATCTTAACAGTTGTAGAGCTCGATTGGTGATAGTACATTACTTAAAAAAAGAATGTATATCAAATGCTGAAAGTAAAATGAATCGATGTCTTAACTACTAGACTAGTTCTTTTTCAAAAATACTCTTTCGTTCTATTATCTCATTTTGATATTCATTTGTTCAATTTATAAGTTAGACAGGAACCTATGTTTTGGTGAATTGCACTGTGATGAGCATAAATGTTTCATTCGCTTGAAACTTACAATTTTGCTTAATTATATATTCTTTCATGACATTTTCATCTTTATTTTGTTATTTACATCTTCATCTTCAAAGATGAAACAGTGTACTGCCCACAAACCTAAGAAAACAATTTTTCTCCTATTTTTGGTAAGGACAGTATACATTTCTCGTAGAGTATTCTTAAAAATGATCTTCCATTTTCTATGATATTTAATTCTCATAAAATATTGTAGCTTGATTATATATGTTGAAGGGTGTGGATGTGGTGAATGTGGATGTGGATGTGGGTGTGGCGGGCGTATGGGCAACCACAGAAATATTCTCGTCTGTTGCTCATTAATTCTAACAACATTTCTACAAGTACAAATAGGTTGCTCTCTTAAAAGAAAAGCATGTTGGCCTTTTTTATCGTTGCATCTTTCGTTTTTTCTGAGAAACATATTCACTCTACGATTCTGGAGGGGTCTGAGCAACAATACTTGATAACATCTGTAATCAATGAAATTCTAGTTACAAAATATATTGTGCTCCTTACTATCTGTTCCAGAGATTTCTAAAGAACTTTCTAAGCATTCGAACGAAGGCGGTTCCTGATCGATTGTCCATGAGAGTTTCACTATTCCATTATGAAAAAATCTTACAATTGATGTAAGCAATAATCAGTGTCGACTCCATCAACGCGTTGATAGTACTTGTGACAGTGTCCATTATTTGATGTGCGTGTTTTTTATACAGAATATATTTCATATCAGTGCTGCGAAAGAAATAGTAAAAATGACAGATAGCCATAGATATATCAATATGTGTCGCTTCACAAATTGGAGAAAAAATATTTTGTTTTGCTTCATTTATTCTTCTCTTAGGGTATGAGAATCATATAGAATTGTGTTTAACTTTTCTTTTTCTGGTTGAATTGTGTCTCTTACTCTTGTTTCGGGTATTTTTTGTTCAATTGAGGCCGTGCTTATTCAATGACATATAGAAGTAGATCAGAAAATATATCGAGTGATAGAAAAGGAAAGAAAAGAGTGAAAAGCAATACTCAAAGTGTAATCAACATTGCTTATGAATGTAATCAAGTTAACTAGAATTTGGAGTCAAATGTCCGTCTCGCTATGTAGAACATAGATAGATTGAATGAAAATGATAGGAAAGGATCGAGACAACTAGAACGATGATCATAGAGAAAACGTATGATAGATAGGAATGCATTATCGTGCAATTATTGGATATCGTCTATTTTAGCCGTAAATATTCATTTGATTTCATTATCTGTTTATAGTCGAGTGTGCCTATCGGATAAATAGTACAATGATGTATTGCTACATCATCATAATAATTACCTGGTCAATTCATATTGGTACTAACGCTGAAAACAAGTCTCTCATCTACTTGCCGATGTCTCTTACGTCTCATCTTGAATCGAAATTTGTTCGTGACCAAGACAAGACGTTCAGTTTTACAGATTTTCTCGATCCACCAAACACATTGTCGTCCTACGCTCATTCGCAACAAATCGAACTATTCGCTTCGCGTATGGCCTCTTTCATTTCCTATTCATCTGAATTCACTTCTCTGATTGGTTATAAGCCCGAAATAAAATTATTAGCTGCTGAACCAGTCTTCATACCATTTGCTCATGAAGGTGGCGTATTTATTCCGGTTACAAATCAAGTTTGGTTCACAGCTAATCAATTACCGATTCAGAATACTAATGTAAGTAGTGTCAATCTCGAGACGAATAAAATAGAATTGCTCTCCATTCAACCGCCAATTCTAACGCCGAACGGTCTTAATTATTTTGATGATTCAGTTTATATCTGTTCACAAGGCAATCAGACAACATCGGGCGCTATCTATGCTGTCAATCCGACAACCCTCGTCAGTCGACTAGTTGTCAATTCATGGTTTGGATTTCGACTCAATTCTCCGAATGATGTTACATTCAGTACAAAGATCGGCGGCGGAAAATACATGTGGTTTACTGATCCACAAGTTGCTTACTTGCAAGCTTTTGGATCTTCACCACAATTAGGCAGTTTTGTCTATCGTTTTGATTTGACCACATCCGAATTACGACCGGTTATTACAGATCTGATTGTACCTAATGGAATTGCTTTCGATCTCAATGAAACGGCATTGTATGTGAGTGACACAGCACCTAGTTCACATGGGGGCGGTCCTTACACGGTGTATGCTTACGATCTGAACAAGCATGGATTGCCAATTAATCGTCGTGTCTTTTCCGTTAGTTCAACGGGAATTCCAGATGGAATCAAAGTTGACAAAGTCGGACGCGTATGGACGGGTGAAGGCGATGGAATCAATATAAGAGACCATCATGGAACATTGTTAGGTGTGATACTTGGTCGGGATTTATGTCAAAGTGGGGTTATTAGTAACTTTGCTATATTTGATAGTACAGTGATTATTCTGGCACAAGAAAAGCTGTGGCGGTTGGAATTAGCTGCTAGTGTGCTGTAATCAACGAGCTTTCAGAAATACTTCAGCCAATGGCATCGTAGTTTAGAAATATTTCAATAATTAGATTACGCGTCTCTTTTTACAAGCATATTAGTTTTTTTGTACTCGTAGATCAAATAAAATGATTCTTTTTATCAAAAACGTTCATGAAAATCTCTATTCTATATTTATTTTTCTAGTCAAAGATACTTGTACTCAAAACAAAAGGGTCCCAGTGTGAAGAGAATATCTCAACACTAACAATCATCCACAGCGACATGCACACCAGCAACCTCATCATTCATACTGTCTGTATATTTTCTGATTACTTGCATGTATCATTGAATAAGCATAACCTCAAGTGGACAAAAAATAACAGAAACAAGAGTCAGAGATACAATTCAAACAAAAAACTAAAATTTCAACACCTTTCTATATGATTGTTATACCCTAAGAGAAGAATAAATGAAGCAAAGCAAAATATTTTTTCTTCAGTATGCGACGCGACAACTATTGATATATCTATGCTCATCTGTTATTTTTTACTATTTCTTTCGCACCATTTACATGCAATATTTTCTGCATAAAAAAGCTAGCCAGCACCGTGTCCTCTCATTTGCAAACATAAAATCGACTTAAAAATCTGTTAAATTCAATTTCAGTTGTTTTTGAAATTTAATTTATTCAAATTCAAAATAATCTTAGGTCTCAAATTTTTGGTTTTCAAATTTCAAAAAAATGACTGATAACAATTTTAATACAAATTAAAATTTCAGTTATATTTTTAAACTTGCTGAAATTTATAGAGTTCGCTAAAGATTGAGTTTTCTTATTTCAATTTGACGACTTGTAATTTTTAGGGAGCACTAAACTACAATAGTGCTTCTTTTCTTTGTAATTACTGCAATTTATAAAGGTCACTAGATATTGGGTGTGGGTGTGGGTATAGTTCTTTTTTTTTTTCATACTCCTATTCTGACACACACGGCGACACACCCAAACCCCAAATTCGATTAGAGTAATAGAAACCTTATCGTGATCCAATACCGCCAACAATTCAATATGTATTCGATTATGCGGCACTAAAACAAGTCAAACTAGTGCCGTACGTTTATTCATCTTTAGGTTGCCGACTGAAAGGACAAGATCAAGCATGGTTGATTGAAAACCCACATTGTCGAAATCTGTGTGCGTCTCTGGCTAGTATAGAATTTCAACGTTATTTTCTGCAATGATTGATTGATTTTGCGCAAGTTACAGGTTACTCGGCTTATCGAATTCGTAATTTCTAGAATTTTCTCCCGAGCACTTGAAATTCATAATTTGATTAGAATATAAATGTACTAGGAATTTTGAAATTTGATGAAAGCTAACATTTGTTTCAAAAAAAGAAGACTAGTGGGTGTTTTTCGAATAACTTTTGACAGGAGCATGATAGATAGATACGATTCTAACCTTTCGAAAGAAGTTGTGCCATTGAATTATTCCAAGTCGTATTCAAGAAAATTGGCTCATAGTTGCATTGTCAGTCAGTGAATGTGGGTGCGTGAAGAGAAGATCCACACCCACAAAAATTTATTAACTTAAAACAAAAGTTTTTATCAGATAAACATGATGATCTACAAGGGTCGAGAAAAGAGTTCATTGAAACAATCGAATATCGTGAACAAACTATGAAAAAAATGATTCGAAACAATGATGCAATATAAAATGAAGACTTTTCTCGACGACGCTCTGACAGAACATCAAATGAACGATGAAGCAGCATCATCGTCATCGGAGTTGTATATATATATTTATACAAAAAATAATTACTTCATCATTTCTTATTGACGTCGATAAGACTTATCACCAAACCTAATATCTATGTTTATCAAAGGTCTAAGATATATTATTCCATATCAAAGTCGATTTTTGCATGAATCAATTGATTTATAATCTAAAATTGTCTACGAGAGAATCTTATATCCACTTCCGATCAGTGTGAACAACAAACTATTTCAGAATTACAAAAGATTATTCATCAATTAGATGTCAAAACATTATCTCGAAAATCAGTAGAATTTATTAGTTGAATAAAACTTAAACAATTAAGTAAGGCTTGATTAATAGAGTGTTCTACACTGCAAAAAAAATATAAGTACTTTTCTGAACCTTCCAAAAAGGTTTCGTAGGTGTCCAAAAGCTTTCAAATGCGTCCAAACGCTTAAAAAACGATTCTTAAAATCTACGAAACCTTTAAAGGATCTGACCGCGGATACAAAGTTGGAACCATCTCTTACGAAACCTTTTTCAAGTTCCGTACAGCGAAAAAAGGCTTCGTAAGAAAATACGAAACCTTTATAGTTTCCTAGTAAACCTTATGGTTTCGCACGATGGTTTTATACGAAACCGTCAGGTTTGCTAGAAAGCTATAAAGGTTTCGTAAGAGATGGTTCCAACTTTGTATCCGCGGTCAGATCCTTTAAAGGTTTCGTAGATTTTAAGAATCGTTTTTTAAGCGTTTGGACGCATTTGAAAGCTTTTGGACACCTACGAAACCTTTTTGGAAGGTTCAGAAAAGTACTTATATTTTTTTACAGTGTATCAATGCAAAGATTAAAATAAAAAATTCCAAACATGTGAAAAGTCTAATAGTAAGTTTCTTTCTCTAACCAGCCACCAGGATGTCTCCGAATGAGATATTTACGTACTTCGTCGTAGATTAAAATTAGAAAAACATACGGTAATGCCGGAAGTCACCACCGAAATCTATTTTGAAATCGAATTTAAAAAGAACTAGCGGAAGTACCGGATGTTGCCCGAGAAAATTCAATCCTAATATATGCAAGCAAAACTCTTATTGCGCTCGAGAACATGTAAGAGAACCTAATCAGTTGGGAGAAGACACGTATAAAATCCTATTTTATGTGCCGGTCTTGGTTCCAGCTCTTGGACATATTTCAAGTCTCGATCCCGGCTGCTCTCGCTCTCGGTGGATATGAAATACTGACATTGAAAAAATGTTCAGAAGTGAAGAATTCTTCGTCCTTACACATCTAGATCAAGAAATGCTTCATGAAACTTATGATTTCTATCGACTTTTTATCTTGGTCAAGCGTTTATAAGCGCGCATACCTTTCTCAATCAACCCCGATCTAAACTGACCACGGTCGTGCTTGGTCATATTCCCGGTTACGGAGCTATCCACTTGTGTTTTTAGTGGGGAGCCCACATGGACAACCGATTCTTTGATAGCATTGCCAGAAGGGTGTGGGTGTGGGTGTGGGTGGCTATGAGCATTTCTCCTATTTATACCCACACACCTACACACCCACACCCATATTATGTAACATTCTAAATATATCCATTTGTTGTTGAACCATTAAATTATAATGAGATGAAGAAAACAGATTGTTTAACCAACAGAATGTTGGTTCCATAGATACAGTTGTCACTAACATTCGTTGACTACTAACTAATTGTTGAAAATGATATCGTTGTTCATCAAGAAATGATTTGATTTGATTTTTATTTTCAAAATCAATTGAAATCTCGTTTCTCATAATGTCGATGATGAAATAATTCATCATATACTTTATGCATGGAATTGATACTATCTTTACATGATTCGAAACTTTCTAAAATCACAAATAAATATTTTCAAAATACTTTTTCTTTACATTTTACTTTGAATATTTTCTTTTAATAAATCAATGGCAAAGACAGGAAAGATGGTCACGGTTAGGATACTGGCAATTGCAGTGCCAACAAAATTCTCTTCAATTCGAAGTAATGCGTAATTCCCTGCTGGTAAGGTATCGCCATGGGGTAATCGACCTAAGTTAATAAGAATTGGGGTAAATAGAGCGACACTCGCCGTGTCACCCCATTTGTGAAATAATCTTAAATAACCAAATAAAAATACTCATGGAACTAATGTAACAAATGTTTCAAATATATTATCACGAACTAATAAATAGGTTATATAGGACCACATGGCACCTGGATGGAAAACGAAAATATTTTTTTTTTCATTCTTATTAGAAAATTTTTTACTTAAAAGCGTTCCAGTTAATCTCATTTTCATGGTCGTAAATGCTTCTCCAACAGTATCGGCTTGTATCATACAGAGAGCTATTAATATCTATTGTCCATTTTCAAAAATCTTTGCTAAATATGGAACCAGGACAAAGATGGAACCAACTCCAATAATAATCATGCTTTTAATCGATAGTAAAATTCTTGACCATTGAAATTGAAAGCAAATGTTTTCTTTTCTTTTACAATATCTTCCTTTGAATAATTGTTTGTTGATTCGATTAATAATTGTACAATAGTAAATAATTGAAAAAGAAAGAAAGCATGTGAAAGATGATCATCTGATTGAAGATTATTTTTCATTTGATTAAGACGAGCTTTTTTATGGGACGAACGAACGAAATCCACAGATAGGTGAAGAATAGTTAAACGATAAATAAATCTATCTTTGGATACTGGTAGAGTTGATGTAAAAGATGAAATAAGACTTGATTGACATAAATTAAGGTAAAGAAGACTAGATTCAAGTTCATGTCTTAAAGCATGATGATATTCATTAAATTGACATTTATTGACCATTAAGTAAAGAGATGATATATGAAACATTAATGAACTTAATAAATTGGCTTTTTTTAAAGAAAATATCATAAAAGATATGATGCAATGTTTGATCGACACACCTTGGATATTAAGATCAATCATATGTTTTCGTTTTCGAAAAAATATTTGTTGTAATAATCTCGATGATTCGTATTTTTGCTTCTACTAGTTTTGTTTGAGTTATGATCAACGTTTGACGAATTATGTCTTCAATAATTGATGCACGGGAAAGAGAGACTTTAGCAGCCATTGGATTTGATGATAAAAACGCTTGAATGATAAAATGATACAAACGTTGAAAATAACATAAACAATAATTAAAACGATTTTCTATATCAATGGTGGCAAATAATGGACATACTAATAGAGAAACAGATATTGATATACTAATTCCAATAAGAAATAATTCCAATAATAAAAAGACAAATACTATTGGAAGATTTTTCTCATTAACATTCGTAGACAAGAATATTACATTGTATAATAAAGCTATTTTTTGTGTTTGAATCTATTGAAAAGAAATCTATTGATTTTCTTCAATGATAAAAAAAGACAATATTTACTTGTGTACATTGATAAGAAATGATAAAATAAGTAATAAAAGTTCAGGTACTAAATAATTTCCATAGGAAAGACCAATTAAGTGAATAAAAAAAGAATAGTAGAAAGAGGAACGATGAAAATTATCGTTTGAATATTTGAATATAATGTTAATCCAACTGTTTCTTGTATTGATATAACACTGATTACACATATAATATATTGTTGATCTAATTGATAACGTAATCGAGTTCCATAGGCAATAAAACCACTAATAATAAATGCTAAAATAGTTTTAATACAAAATTGAAAATGGCGAATAAATTTTCATCAATGCATAATGATGAATATTTAATACGATGAGTATTGAAACAAAACATAGTACCAAATCGTCTTATTAGTGATAAAAACATGATTTAATCATTTTCGTTTGGAGTCTCGATATAAATCAATAAGATGAAAGGTTATCTCATATTACGTACGAAATAGGCTTAGGTTAATTATAAAAGAAAGAAATTCATCACTGCAGAATATAATGACCATTTGTTATGGTGGGAAAATGTCGAAGGAAAAATGTCAAAAGAAAAGTATGTATAGTATAAGTAAGTCATTAATAAGGCCACCTTGATCAATGCTAAAAGGATTTAATAAAGTTCGAAAATATCACATATTTATACTGTATGCACTATAGTATCCGATTCATAATGCTCACGTTGATGGTATTTTGTTTTAGAATTTATTTTTATTCCACTCAAAGACATAATTGTTAATGATAGGCACTGACTTTCTTGAAGAAGGAACCATGTTATCTATAGATTTGTATAAAATAAAGATAAGTATTACAATGTTACTCTACTCATACATCAAACAATGTAAAATAACATATATTATAATAATTTTTTTTTTAATTAAATAAGTTCACATGGGTGAGTGTGGTTATGAGGAAGAAAGCATCTATATCCACACTCATACTTGAACCAGCTTCGGTTTTGCTTAAGGATCTATTCAGGAAGCATCATCAACTTCTCGGTACGTTCTCTAGAGACACAATTCACGATTAACTTCAATAAAAAGCTTCCTGTATATATTCAAGGTTACAAAGCAGATGCTCTCTGATTCAATGGCGTGAGATTGTTACGATTATGCAAGCGAGTAATGTGTTGTATGCAAGAATAAGGAAAAATATAAACTTTAGAATGAATTTCTTGCTTGTGAAAGCATTTCAGAAAGATAGCAATGCTGTTTTGTTCAGCAGCTAATAGCCTCATCTTCGAATCTAGCATGCACGTATTAGGAAGGTTGACGTACGGATAAAACTGATATGTTTATTTTCTCCAGACATTCTATGGTCTTCTTACTTTTCTTACACTACTCTCAGAAAAATGAAAAAGAAACTGAAGTTCCACTTCTCACTTTCTTTCTTTTCAGTGTTCTCAAAAATCTATTTGAATATTCAGAAGCGGATTCCACTTTCTCTTGATGAAAGTGTAGCAGGTACTTTCTCTACCTTCATTATTTCGCATAGTTCCATTAAAGAAAATTGAAAACAGCTTCATAAAATTCAAATAAAGCATCTAAACTCTTACTAAAATCAAAAAAGATCGAGTGATAATCGTTCTGCACTAGCAACTAATTGAAATTCATTTTTGGAAGAGTCTGAGATGCTTATTTGAGGTATATTTGTCAAAAATGAGACGTATTATTCAGCAGTATGTGTTGTTTTCTATTTCAAGAGACGTTGAGTAGCATGAGCACCGTCATTCAGCCGAGCAAAGCAGCAGCTGAAGCGTTCAATCCTAACCATTACCTCGTACAATTTATTTGTTTTGAAACTTCTCTCCCTACTCATCAATTTCTTTCAATATGACAACTTTTCGCCACTGGTTTCCTGAATAAAGGTATCGAAGTGCTTATTCTCAACGAACTAGAAGACTATTCTGCTCAATCCGTTCCATATTACTTCATCTCACAGAACTGGTGGCTGAAGCAATGCTTCAAACAAGTCTTTCCTAATGGTCAAATGTCGGGCAATGTCGGTTCTGTGCGAGTGGCTCAAGCTGGTGGCTTCATGTTCAGTGATTACATATTGCCTTCAAGTGTCGATCCGTGTGCATCGTTTTCTGGCATCTAACTGTTCGTTCTGGGGTGTGGACCACCACTCTCTACTAATGAGATAAAAATCGTGCTACAAGTAACTGAGGTTGAAGGTGCATTATTATTTACTCGATCGAATGAAAACCACGAGAGTCTATTCGGCTGGCTGTTGGAGTTGCGTGGTGTTGTCACTATGGTAGTACATGAACGCGAGCATCTTCTTGCTACTCTTCTCCCAGCGAAGTTCAACTAATTTTATGGTTCACATTCCTACGTGTAACTTAAACATGTATCTATCACCTCAAACAAATTCACTGCGACTTAAGCAATAAAACAGCCATTTTTTAATTAGGGACCAGCTTTATATTCCACTTTTCTGTATAGATTTTGTTAACATTAAGTTCGTGGTAGAAAAAAGATATTATTTAAACTTAAGTTGAACGCATGATTTATTTGAAAAACAAGTATGAATTCTGTGCTACAAAAACTATATTTAGAGTGGTGAAAATTGGTGCGTATGTAAATATTAGTGACTGCTTTCGAGATGTGAGTGTGATTGTTAGTGAATAACAAACACCCGCAACTCATATCCAGATCCTCACCTCAGGATAAGAATCGCCAATTATGTTGTTGTTTTGATTTATGTTATGATATTTTGTATCATTATTTAAGTGATTTATTGAAGTGTTTATGTTCTCTTTCATTTTTCTTTTTCTTGAGAAGATTCGATAATTGTTTGTCTTTCTTTTTTCATTTTTGTATGATTCACCATATTGTATTTGGTTATAGTCATTGTAATGATCGATTTGTTCATTATTACGCTGAATTTGACATTTTTGACTATTTTAATGTTTTTCACATTTGTAGATGTATTTTCTCCGTTATTCACAAGCTTGATGAATTCATTAGCTTCACCATTTCTTATATTTGGGATGTTGTTTATCGTTTAAGAGATCGATGTGACATATTTTCATTAACTGTTTTGTTTGAATGTATCATGAAGTTTTTATAATCTATGTTTATTAATATGTTTTCCTTCTCGGCGAACGATTCATTAGCATAAAAGTTGTAGGATGTTGTTGTAAGTGTGCTTTGATTTTATTTACATCCATAGCCTTATTTATTCAATACTTAGAAGTTGTCCTAATAGTCAGAACACGTTGCATGATATCGTCGATATTTTTCAAAAGAAGTGTGCCCAGATACATTTGAACATTAGGAATCATGAAGAATAAATTTATTTGTGATAAAAGGAAAAAAATCAGCAATGACAAATTTATAAAAGTAAATTCAAACTTATCATAATCTGTTAGAAATTAATTTAGCACAGTAAGCACTAAGAATAAAATGATAGTTAATTGTTGTTTATTATGAGTTCATTGTCTTGCATTAGCTANTATGCTACACTCTAAGAAAAATAGGTTTATTACCGAATCTGTATCCAGGAGAAGAATCTTTGGAATTTCGTACCTGTTTACCGAACCTAAAAAAGACGAGGTCGTAACCTGCTAAACCATTTTAGGTTCGGCAGATCGGTACGAAACCCCAAAGTTTCTTTCCTTGGATACAGATTTGGTAATAAACCTAGTTTTTTAGAGTGTACATTGCGTTGGAAAAGTTAGAGGTTTATAATGTAGAATTGGACGATCAGTTCTCTGAGTTGATCTGATCTGTTCGAATAGTTCAGATCAGATGAGCTCGTTTTTATGAAGAATTCAAGAGATCGGGACTTTTACCGAGCTGTGCGAGCCCTAGTAAAAGATAACATTTTAAGTGTACAGGCGAGACTTGACAGAAAGCGCATCATACCCAGAGTGAAATGGTTTGGGAATTTCATGCAGCAAACTAAAACCAAAGCTCAATATCCGAACTCAAACCCTAACCCTAACCCAAACCCAAACCCAAAACCCTAAACGGTTTGGGTTTGAGTTTCGGTTTGGTGCATGCCTGGATACATTGCAGTCAGGACATATATATCGTGTATCAAGTCCAATATTATGGGATGTGCAAACCACGCATTTTCTTTAAGATTGTTTTGATTGTGATGTTTGTTGAATAAGCAATGGAAAATGTCGAGCTGTTAGACGAAGAGGAGAATCCCTTGTCGATGGTCTTCCAATAGTAGTCGCTCTATGTGGCCCGTACTTTATCAAAAATTCTCTGATGATCTCCAGTTGAAAATGAGATAGACGAAATAAATATTACTCTACATTTTGTAAATTACAAATTTATTATGTTCTGCCGTCTCGAAAAGGTGGAAAAAAGCTTCGTATATCATTTTACTGATCTTCGTACACATTCTGAAAATGACATATGCATGTCAACACAGTCAACTCCACCCATGTTTTTAGTGTAGTCGAGAATATAGAGAG